CGGGGTGAGCTCCCGTGACTTGTCCCAGCTTCTGCCAACCTAGCAGTTCGAAAGCAGGTAAAAAATGCAAGTAGAAAAATAGGGACCACCTTTGGTGGGAAGGGAACAGCGTTCCGTGCGCCTTTGGCGTTGAGTCATGCCGGCCACAGGACCACGGAGACGTCTTCAGACAGTGCTGGCTCTTCGGCTTTGAAACGGAGATGAGCACCTCCCCCTAGAGTCGGGAACAACTAACTTCAAGACGGGTGGACTTCAACTCCCAGAATTCAATTCCCCCCCCCCATGCTGTTGACTGGAGGATTCTGGGAGTTAACATCCACTTGGTCTTAAAATCACTGAGATTAAAAAAACTCTGATTTACAGCAACATTCCCCCATCTCACATAGGGAGGCAGCTGTTTTGGCAATCAACCCTCCCAAATTCCGAGTTAAAATGGCTGCTTCATGCCAGGTCTTGGCACAATTCAACCCGTCACGTCCTCAGCACCCTTATTTGGGGTGCCAAGACTTCACCCCTTGGCACTAGGATCACCAGGGGTGGGGTGAGAGTTTGGGGGAATCACCCCAACGAGTTTTGCCTTAGGCAACGTGTTCTAAATGGGTTTGGTCTCCCTCCTTACTGGGTCAATCAAACATCTGCCCAAAATTAGCTCCCTGTCCACTTAATTTCTCTAAGCATCTGTCCAGGATTGCCAATCTAATCTTCTTCAGCCAGAAAGAGAGCGAGGAAGGGCACAGAATAAATCTCCTTTCCTTCCGCAGCCTCCGTCTTTCCTGCTGAGGGGTTGGCAAGGCAGCCACCGAGGTGCCCTGGAGCATTTCAGCTGCAGACTAGTCCTCTTCAAGGGCACAGCCCCCCCCCCCCAATCCAGGTTGTGCCAAGGAGGCACGTCTGGGCAAGAACTGCCAGGGGAGGAAACCATGCCCCATGCCAAGCCGTGCCCTACCTTGTACATTCCAGGACATGCAGGAGGCCAGGTTCTCCTCCTCCTCCTCCTCCTCCTCCTCCTCCTCCTCCTCCTCCTCTCCACACACCTGTCTCTCTTCTAGCATTGATGATGTTACCTACTTGGATGATAAAATGTCTGCAAGAAAACAATTGAGCTCAAAGAGCACCAAGGACCCTACAGTCGTCTTCTTCTTCTTCTTCTTCTTCTTCTTCTTCTTCTTCTTCTTCTTCTTCGTCTTCTTCTTCTTCTTCTTCTTCTTCTTCTCCTTCTCCTTCTCCTTCTCCTTCTCCTTCTCCTTCCTCCTCCTCCTCCTCTATCTTCTCTTCATCCTCCTTCTTTATCTCTCCTTCTTCCTCTCCTTCTCTTTTTCTCTACCACCATCACCAACTCATCTTCTCCTCCTTCTTCACCACTATTGCAACCTCCACTTCCTCTTGTTCTTCATCTACTCTTTCTTCAGCTCCACCATCCCTCCTCCTCCTCTTCCACTATGATTGCTCCTTCTCTTTCTAAACCTTCTCCCCCCTCCTCTTCCATCACCACCACCATTGCTGCCTCTACCTCTTCTTCTTGATCTCCTTTCTTCATTTCCGCCATCCCTAACTTCTCCTCTTCCACCACTACCACCCTTTCTCCTTCCCTTTCGTATCCTTCTCTTCTTCTTCCTCTTCTTCCTTCCACCACCACTTCTTCTTTTTCTCCTTCTTCACCTTCTCCTTCTCCTTCTCTTTTTGAACTCCATCCATCTTCAAACTGCTACCGTTGGGAAACGCTCCTAGATGAATGCCTGGGTTAGATCCAAAGATGGTCTGATTAATTTAGCAGTTAAAGAATTTGCCTTCCATGCAGCCCAGTTCCTGAGCAATTCTCTGAGGAGCTTTGAAAACTTTATACAATGTTTTGGCATCTCTCCTTCGAGGGAAGTTGCTGGGACAGTTTTTCATGTGGGCTTTTGGAGGTCCTTCCAAGATACGGACCACGTTCCACTATGAAAACAGATGCTGGAGGATTATGGCCAACTAAATCTTGGGATGGTGAAGTAGAAGCGTTTTGAGTAAATGCATTTTACTACTTAACAGAAATAACAGAGTTGGAAGGGTCATTGGAGGTCTTCTAGTCCATCCCCCTGCACGAGCAGGAGATCCCATACCATTTCAGACCAATGGTGGTCCAGTCTCTTCTTAAAAGCCTCCAGAGATGAAGCACCCACAACTTCTGGTGGCAAGTTGTTCCACTGGTTACTTATTCTCACTGCCATGAAATTTCTCCTGTTCCAGGTTGGATCTCTCTTAACAGAATAGCAGAGTTGGAAGGGACTTTGGAGGTCTTCTAGTCCAGCCCTCTGCTCAAGCAGGAGACCCTCTACCATTTCAGACCAGGGGCTGTCCAGTCTCTTCTTAAAAACCTCCAGTGATGGAGCGCCCACGATTTCTGGCAGCAAGCTGTTCCACTGGTTAATTGTTACCCTGTTTTCCCCAAAATAAGGCTTCCCCTCATAATAAGCCCAATCGGGCTTTTGAGCGCATGGCAATAAGGCCAAGTGCTTATTTCAGGGTTCAAAAAAATATAAGACAGGGTCTGATTTGCAGGGAAACACGGTATTTTATTTTATTCTATTCTATTCTGTTCTGTTATATTCTATCAATGACTATCAACCTGCCTTCCATGGAAGACCTGTATACTGAACAAGTCAAAAAGAGGGCTGGGAAAATATTTACAGACCCCTTGCATTCTGGACACAAACAGTTTCAACTCCTACCCTCAAAACGAGGCTATATAGAGCACTGCACACCAGAACAACTAGACACAAGGACAGTTTTTTTCCAGAACGCCATCACTCTGCTAAACAAATCATTCCCTCAACACCGTCAAACTATTCACTAAGTCTGCACTACTATTAATCTTCTCATCATTTCTATCATCCATCTCCTTCCACTTATGACTGTATGACTGTAACCTTGTTGCTGGTATCCTTACGATTTATATTGGCTGTTTCCTAATATGATTTGATTGCTTATTTGTTCCCTATGACTATCATTAAATGTTGTACCTTATGATTCTTGACGAACGTATCTTTTCTTTTATGTACATTGAGAGCCTTTGCACCAAAGACAAATTCCTTGTGTGTCCAGTCACACTTGGCCAAGAAAGAATTCTATTCTGTTCTGTTCTGTTCTGTTCTATTCTATTCTATTCTATTCTATTCTATTCTGTTCTGTTCTGTTCTGTTCTGTTCTATTCTATTCTATTCTATTCTATTCTATTCTATTCTATTCTATTCTATTCTATTCTGTATTCTCTTCTCTTCTCTTTTACATTCTCTTCTCTTCTCGTCTCTTCTAATCTATTCTCTTCTAATCTATTCTCTTCTATTCTATATTCTCTTCTCTTCTGTATTCTCTTCTCTTCTCTTCTCTTCTCTTCTCTTCTCTTCTCTTCTCTTTTCCCTTCCCTTCTTTCCCTCCTTCCCTTCCCTTTCATTTCCTATTCTTCATTTCCTCTATTCTATTTATTCTCTTCTCTTCTCTTCTCTTCTCTTCTCTTCTCTTCTCTTCTCTTCCTCACTGTTAAGAAGTTTCTCCTTATTTCCAGGTTGCTTCTCTCCTTGATTAGTTTCCACCCATGGCTTCTCCTTCTGCCTTCAGGTGCTTTGGAGAATAGCTTGACCCCCTCTTCTTTGTGGCAGCCCCTCAAATATTGGAAGATGCAGTCATGTCTCCCCTAGTTTTTTCTTTTCATTAAACTAGCCATGCTCAGTTCCTGCAACCGTTCATCGTAGGTTTTAGCCTCCAGTCCCCTAATCCTCTTGGTTGCTCTTCTCTGCACTCTTTCTAGAGTCTCAACCTCTTTTTTTATATTGTGGCAACCAAAACCAGATGTAGAATTCCAAGTGTAGCCTTACCAAGGCATTAATAAGTGGTATTGAGTGATCTTAATGGTCTTCCTCTTATCGAAGCAGAGCTGTTTTAGAAGAACCCTGAGCCTCTTTGTCTATGGAGATTTTTGGTCATCCAGGCCATGGCTGTCCCAGAGGGGCTTTTTTTCAGGAGGCAACTGGACTTTCTGGTTTTTCTTTGAAGACGTTTCGCTTCTCATCCAGGAAGCTTCTTCAGTTCTGACTGGCTTCCTTTCGTTCCCCACCATCCACTTAGGGCTGAAGAAGCTTCCTGGATGAGAAGTGAAACATCTTCAAAGAAAAACCAGAAAGTCCAGTTGCCTCTTGAAATAAAAGCACCTTTGGGCATCCGAGACTCTTCCTTTGTCTTGAGCCATGGAGGCCCCTGGAGCGTGTGGGACCATCTCCGTCACTTTTGACTCCAGCCTTCCTGAACCTGGCTCAGAAGCCCAGCACAGAGCCTTGGTAGTACAGTGGTCTAAGGCACCCTGTTATTAAGACCAGATGCCTGCAATTACTGCAGGTTCGAATCTCACCAGGCTCAAGGTTGACTCAGCTTTCCATCCTTTCTAAGGTAGGTGAAATGAGGACCCAGTTTGTGGGGGCAATAAGATGACTTTGTATAAATATACAAAAGGATGAAGGCTATTGCTTAACGCACTGTAAGCCGCCCTGGGTCTCTGGAGAAGGGCGGCATATAAATCAAATTTAAAAAAAAAACAAAAACCATCTGAAGGAGGGAGGTGGAGAGCCGAAAAAGCTGATTTCCTCCAAACTCCACCCTCCCTGACAATAGGATTCTTGCATGCTTGGGTGAGATGTTTATTTACTCAGCTGAGGTGGGAGCCTCGTGGCCTGGAATGTGCAGGTTTTGCCCCCCCCCCCCCCCCAGACATTCCTTGTTGGAAATGGAGTTGAAACTATTGATGAGGTCATAACAAAAGGATTGAAGTTGGATATTCTTCGTTTCTTTGAATGGCCCAAGTAGCTTCTCTTTGCGTGTCTCTGTTCTTTCCTTGGAGGTCAAGTCCTTTCTGAATTCCTCCGTGGTATTTGATGATGCTTTTAAAAAAAATGATTGTGGGTATTTAAGTATCTCTCCCCCTCCCTCCCTCCTTTCTTTCCTTCCTTCCTTCCTTCCTCTCTCTCTCCCAGCTGAATGAGTTGGACAAGGCGGCCAATGCTGCCCACACCTTCTTTGCGGCCAACCCAGAACACCTGGAGATGCAGCAGGACCTGGACAATTACAAGACTCTCTCGGGGAAGGTGGACCTGGTGGACCAAGAGGCTCAGCCGCACATGGTAAAGGTGGTCTCTCTCTGTGGGAGTCTGTGGGGGTGTAAGTGTGAGTGTGAGTGTGAGAGGGAGGGAGGTAGAAGCAAAGGAAAGAAAGAAAGTAAGTAAGAGAGAGAAGAAAGAAAGAAAGAAAGAAAGAAAGAAAGAAAGAAAGAAAGAAAGAAAGAAAGAAAGAAAGATGGGATGGAGAGAGGGAAGGAGAAAAAGGAAGAAGGAAGGAAGGAGAAAAGGGAAGGAAGGAGAAAAAGAAAGAAAGAGAAAGAATGAAGGAAGGAGAAAAGGGAAGGAAGGAAGAAGAATGAAAGAAAGAGGAAGGAAGGAAGGAAGGAAGGAGAAAAAGAAAGAAAGAAAAGGAAGGAAGGAAGGAGAAAAAGGAAGGAAGGAAGAAAGAAAGAAGGAAAGAAAGAGAGAGGGAGGAAGTTAGGAGAAAAAGAGAAAGAAAGAAGGAAGGAAGGAGAAAAGAGAAAAGAGAAGGAAGGAAGAAGAATGAAAGAAAGGAAGGAAGGAAGGAGAAAAAGAAAGAAAGAAAAAGAAAGGAAGGAAGGAGAAAAAGGAAGGAAAAAAGAAAGAAGGAAAGAAAGAAAGGGAGGGAGGGAGGGAGAAAGTAAAGAGAAAAAGAAAGAAAGAGAAAGGAAGAAAGAGAGAAGGAAGAAAGAAAGAAAGAGGGAGAGAGAGAGAGAAGGAAAGAAGGAAGCTGAAGTCAGAGAGGGAAGAATGATCCTCACACGTAATGACCATTGCAATAGGCCCATTGTCACATTAATTTCAGCCACCATCTCGTACTTATGACGGTCACAGTGATCGCCATTTCTGACTTCCCAGCCAGCTTCCAACGAGCAAAGTCCATTGGGGGAAGCTGGATTCGCTTAACGACGGCATGAGTCACTTAACAAATGCAGTGATAACAACCGTGGCAAACAAGATGGTAAAAATTGGATGCGCCTCCCTCAACAGCCTCCTGGTTTTGCAATGGAAATTCTGGTCCCAATTGTAGTTGTAAGTCAGGGACCGACTCTACAACTACGATGTCCTTTCCCACGTCTGCGTAGAGCCCTAGAGTCCCCAGGCAGCTTGGAAGGGCTCCTTGAGGTCATGAAGCCCAGCCCCTACTCAGTGAAGGTAGTCGAACAGGTGTTTCCTCCTCAACCTTGGCTTCAGGTGTCTTCTTGTGTCTTCCAGGAGAATTATCTGTCCGGCATCCGGCATTACGACCGGGAGGAATACGATTTGGCCATTGGCCTCCTGGAACGGGCCCTGAAGGATTACGAGGCTGCGGACGCCGAGTGCCGGATCTTGTGCGAAGGTCCCCAGAGATTTGAGGAATACGAGTACCTGGATTATAAGGCCGTTCTCTACGAGGCCATTGCAGGTAAGGACACCAGCGGAAGGAGAACGTGGCCTCCTGGCCTGGTCCAAGAGGGCTTTTCTCCAGTTCTCTTGGGGGGCTGGAGGCTAAAAGATACCAAGAACGGTTGCAGGAACTGGGCATGGCTAGTCTAGTGAAGAGAAGGACCAGGGGAGACAGGAGAGCAGTCTTCCAGTATTTGAGGGGCTGCCACAAAGAAGAATCGGGGGTCCACCTATTCTCCGAAGCACCTGAAGGCAGGAGGAGAAGCAACAGGTGGAAACTCATCAAGGAGAGAAGCAACCTGGAACTAAGGAGGATTTTTTTCTGACAGTTAGAACAATTAAGCAGTGGAACAACTTGCCACTGGAAGGCGTGGGTGCTTCATCACTGGAGGCTTTTTAAGAAGAGACTGGACAGCCATTTGACTGGGATGGTAAAGGGTCTCCTGCTTGAGCAGGAGGCTGGACTAGAAGACCTCCAAGGTCCCTTCTAACTCTGTTATTCTGTTACTCTCTGGCCTGTCCTTCCCATCTCTGGATGGGTCTTGCTCAGGAAAACCTCCGAGGTCCCTTGGAGTCCTATGATGAAGGAAGGAAGGAAGGAAGGAAGGAAGGAAGGAAGGAAGGAAGGAAGGAAGGAAGGAAGGAAGGAAGGAGACAAACTAATCAAAGAGAGAAGCAACCTGGAATTAAGGAGAAATTTCTTGACAGTTGGAACAATTAACCAGTGGAACTACTTGCCACCAGAAGTTGTGGGTGCTCCCTCACTGGAGGTGTTTAAGAAGAGATTGGACAGCCATTTGTCTGAAATAGTATAGCATCTTCTGCTTGAGCAGGGGGCTGGACTAGAAGACCTCCAAGGTCCCTTCAAACTCTGTCATTCTTTTACTCTCCGGCCTTTCCTTCCCATCTCTGGATGGGTGAGGAAGATGAGGGCCTCTCCTGCCCCATCATTTCTCCTCCCCAGCTGCCCTTGACAAAGAAGCAGAGAGATGGGGCAGCTGGGTTGGGTCACGGCTTCCAGTGAGGGTCAACCTGGATACACCTTAACCGATATGGGAGGTTTTCCCAATGTAATACAGCTAGTCCTCCACTTACAACCATTCATTTAGTGACCAAAGTTAAAAGGGCACTCAAAAAAGTGACTTTTGACCGTTTTTCACACTTACGACTGTCGCAGCATCCCCATGGTCACATGTTCAACATTTGGATGCTTGGCCACTGACTCATATTTACGACGGTCGTAACATCACAGGGTCATGTGATTCCCCCTGACAAGCAAACTCAACGGAGAAGCCGGATTCACTTAACAGCCGTGGGACTCACTTAACGCCTGCAGCGATCCACTTAACAACAGTGGCAAGAAAGGTTGCAAAATGGGGCAAAACTCACTTAACCGCTGTCTCCGCTTAGCCACCGGAACTTTGGGCTCAATTGTGGTCGCAAGTCGAGGACTACCTGCAGAGTGTTTCTCAGCCTTGGCCGCTGGCCTCTATTTACGACGATTGCAGCATCTTCAGGCAGGGGAGGGGGGGCAGGTGTGACGTGATCTCCCAATGCAAACTTCCCCACCAGTTTCCAACCCGCAAAGTCAGTGGGGAAAGCAGGATTCGCCCCGCATGACTAATGGCTTAATCCCTGGGGTGATAGAAAGGGGTGTGAACCTGGGTGTGATACACTCAACAATCGTTTTGCTTACCACGCAAATTCCATGTCCCAATTTGGTCATAAATCAAGGACCCTCTGACTCATGCGCTCTCTCTCTCCGACTCCCCAGTGGGCATGTCTCATCGGCTTGCACCACCACGCAGACACAATTCACTGGGGACTGTGTGTTCCTAGGGCCTGGCGTTGTGTAATAGCTCGAAATGCAGCATTCGACACAATAGAATGTGCTGACAAGAGTCTCCCGGAGGACAAAACAGCCTCTGGCCCTCCCTGCAGATGCCACAAGCAGCCTCCGTCCCTCCTTTCAAAAGCTGCCCCAGGAGTTTCCTACGTTTATTCTTCTTTTTTTAAAAATTTGATTTATATGCCGCCCTTCTCCGGAGACTCAGGGCGTCTTACAATGCGTTAAGCAGTAGCCTTCATTCTTTTTTGTATATTTATACAAAGTCAGCTTATTGCCCCCACAATCCGGGTCCTCAATTTACCTACCTTAGAAAGGATGGAAGGCTGAGTCAACCTTGAGCCTGGTGAGATTCGAACCTGCAGTAATTGCAGGCAGCTGGTCTTAATAACCAGCTTAATAACAGGGTGCCTTAGACCACTGTACCACCAAGGCTCTTCTGATGCGAGTTTATGTTTTCCTCATGGAAGGAAGTCTCACAACATCCAGTTTTGGCCACCATGATAGAAAGGGGGAAAAATTAATAGATTAACAGAGTTGGAAGGGACCATGGAGGTCATCTAGTCCAACCCCCCACCCACCCAAGCAGGAGACCCCACACCATTTCTGACCGATGGCAGTCCGGTCTCTTCTTGAAAGCTTCCAGGGATGAAGCTCCCACAACTTCCCAAAGGCAACTTCTGTTCCGCTGAATATAGAACAACAGAGTTGGAAGGGACCTTGGAGGTCATCTAGTCCAACCCTCTGCCCAAGCAGGAGACCCTACACCATTCCTGACAGAGGGCAGCCCAGTCTCTTCTCTTTCTCTTTTTTTTTTGTAAAAAGTTTTTTTATTTTTTAAACAAAAACAACATAAAAACATCATCCTTCCAAATAGTTACAGACAGTATTTCGATCGGTTAAAATCATTTCGTGCTTTAAAATTTTCAAAATCTCATTATATGACAAATGTTCTTTCCTCTAGCAAAAGGCAAGTGTTTAAACATTTTATCCAAATTTCATTTCATATATAATATTTCATCACCATGCTTTATTATCTATCCATTGATAGTCTCATCTTGAAAGCTTCCAGGGATGAAGCTCCCACAACCTCTGAAGGCAACTTCTGTTCCACTGAATATAGAACAACAGAGTTGGAAGGGACCTTGGAGGTCATCTAGTCCAACCCCCTGCCCAAGCAGGAGACCCTACACCATTTGTGAGTTTCTGGATTGATTGCTCTCACTCAAGAAGATGTTGAGACCCTAGAAAGAGCAGAAAAGAGCAACCAACATGATTAGGGGACTGGAGGATAAAGCATATGAAGAACGGTTGCAGGAATTTGGGTATGACTCTAGTCTAAGGAAGAGAAGGACCAGGGGTGGCATAGCATCTTCCAGTATTTGAGGGGCTGCCCCAAAGAAGAGGGGGCTCCACCTATTCTCCAAAGGCCCTGAAGGCAGGACAAGAAGCAATGGATGGAAACTAAGCAAGGAGAGAAGCAACCTGGAATTAAGGAGAAACTTCTGAAAGTGAGAACAATTAACCAGTGGAACAGCTTGCCACCAGAAATCAGGGGCACTCCATCACTGGAGATTTTTAAGAAGAGATTGGACAACCATTTGATCGGGATGCTCTAAGGTCTCCTGCTTGTGCAGGGGGTTGGACTAGAAGGCCTCCAAGGTCCCTTCCAACTCCGTAATTCTGTACGGGGGTCTTATGAAACTCAGTTGCCTTAAATGAAATGAATTGTTGTTTTTTCTGCTGCAAAACTTGTGTTTTCTCCCTTCCTTGCAGATCACTGCATGCAAGTCGTGCTGTGTCAACACGAGTGTGTGCGACAACTCGCCACACGGCCTGGGCGACTCTCACCCATCGACAACTTCCTGCCCTTGCATTACGACTTCTTGCAGTTTGCCTACTTCAGAGGTAGGTCTAGCTTTTCTGAGGTCCTCAAACGCACAGAGATCAGAGTTGTGTTATCACCACCCAAAAGCTAAACCATGCACAGGTCTACAAACACAAGAACAGCCCTTCTGGGTCAGGCCAAGCTCACTGTAGTCCAGGATTGTGTTTCTCCTAGAGGACAACCAAGAACGAACACATTTATTCCTTGGCAAGTGGGATCTGGAGGTAGGTGACCCCAATTTGAAAGTAATATGAAGTCTTTAGGACCAGGAGACCTCAAAAGACCTTTCATCCATCAATTTAGCCACTCTTTTTTCGAAGCCAGACCATTTAGTGCCCCTGATGCATCTTCTGGAGATGTTATCATATTCCTTGGCAAGTGGGATTTGGAGGCAGGTGACCCCCAACCTGGAGGTAATATGGAGTCTTTAGGACCAGGAGACCTCAAAAGACCTTTCATCCATCAATTTAGCCACTCCTTTTTCAAAGCCAGACCATTTAGTGCCCCTGATGCATCTTCTGGAGATGTTATCATATTCCTTGGCAAGTGGGATTTGGAGACAGATGGCCTCCAACTTGAAAGTAATATGGAGTCTTTAGGACCGGGAGACCTCAAAAGACCTTTCATCCTTCAATTTATCCCTCTTCTTAAAAGCCAGACAAATCAGGGCCCCAGTGTAGCTTGTGAAGAGGAAGGTAGTAACAGGGTTTTAAAGCAACTCTGGCTTCCCCATTGACTTTGCTTGTCAGAAGGTCGCAAAAGGGGATCATGGGACCCCTGGACATTGAAACCATCATAAGTACATGCCAGTTGCTCAAGTGTCTGAATTTTGATCATGTGACCATGGAGATGCTGCAACGGTCGTAAGCGTGAAAACCAGTCGTATCACTTTTTTCAGTGGTGTTGCAACTTTGAACGGTCACTAAACGAACGGTTGTAAATTGAGAACTCCCTGTATCAGGTTCAGGGAAACAATGCACGCCCTGGGTTCAAGATCTTTCAACCCAGAGTCCGGGTTAGGCAGTCTCCCTTACTGCCCCTCAAAGATGCCTTTTCAGCGTGTCTTTTCAGGTTTTCTGGGTTCTTTGCAAGGGGAAACATCCTTGGGGCTGCACCCCACAACATCCGAAATACTCAAGGTTGTGTTTCTAAGCAAGCGAGTCCTTTGCCCTGCTTGCCAAGGCTTATGGGCAGGAGAGGGCAAAAGGGGAGCCTCAAAAGCAGATGGGGGAAAAAAATCACTGCCCTTTTCGGGGGGGGGGGGGAGAAGGGGGTCTGTCAATGTTGAGAAAGAGGGAGGGAGGGAGGAATAAAAGAAAGAAGAGAGGGAGGAAGGAAGGAAGGAAGAAAATAAAAGAAGGAAGGAAGAGAGGGAAGGAAGGAAGCAATGAAGGAAGGAAAATATAAAAGAAAGGAGAGGGAGGGAGGAAGGAAGGAAAAAAGTAAAAGAAGGAAGGAAGGAAATGAAAGAAGAAAAGAAGGAAGAAAGAGAGGGAGGGAAGGAAGCAATGAAGGAAGGAAAATATAAAAGAAAGGAGAGGGAGGAAGGAAGGAAAAAATAAAAGAAGGAAGGAAGGAAATGAAAGAAGGAAAGAAGAAAGAAAGAGACGGAGGGAAGGAAGCAATGAAGGAAGGAAAATATAAAACAAAGGAGAGGGAGGGCGGGAGGGAGGAAGGAAAAAATAAAAGAAGGAAGGAACGAAGAGAGGGAGGGAGGGAAGGAAGGAAGCAATGAAGCAAGGAAATGAAAGGAGGAAGGAAGGAAAGAAGGAAAAATATAAAAGAAGGAAAGGAAGGGGAGGGAGGGAGGAAGGAAGGGAAGGAAGGAAAAAATGAAGGAAGGAAATGAAAGAAGGAAAGAATGAAGGAAGAGAGGGAGGATGGGAAGGAAGAAAGGAAGGAATGAAGGAAGGAAATAAGAGAAGGGAGAGAGGAAGGAAGGAAAAATATAAAAAAGAATGGAGGGAAGGAGGGAGGGAGGAAGGAAATAAAAGAAAGGAAGGAAAAATATAAAAGAAGGGAGGAAGGAAGGAAAGAAGGAAAAATATAAAAGAAGGAAAGGAAGGGAGGGAGGGAGGAAGGAAGGGAAGGAAGGAAAAAATGAATCAAGGAAATGAAAGAAGGAAAGAATGAAGGAAGAGAGGGAGGATGGGAAGGAAGAAAGGAAGCAATGAAGGAAGGAAATAAGAGAAGGAAGGAAGGAAAAATATAAAAGAAGGAAAGGGAGGGAGGGAGGAAGGAAGGGAAGGAAGGCAAAAATAAAGGAAGGAAATGAAAGAAGGAAAGAATGAAGGAAGAAAGGGAGGGTGGGTGGGAAGGAAGAAAGGAAGGAATGAGGAAGGAAATAAGAGAAGGGAGAGAGGAAGGAAGGAAAAATATAAAAGAAAGAATGGAGGGAGGGAGGGAGGGAGGAAGGAAATAAAAGAAAGGAAGGAAAAATATAAAAGAAGGGAGGAAGGAAGGAAAGAAATCACATGCATATTTGAAATAACCAGCTATAAAATAATTGAACTCCATTCTGCACTTCAACAGAAGAGAGAAACGGAAGAGAAGGACCGTGTATCTCTGCTCCTGTTTCTCAACCTGAAAAACGTTGAGGACTAGAGTTCTGGGGAAAATGCTCCCTGTAGGTAGTCCTTGAGTTACCACTGTTCATTCAGTGACCGTTTGAAGTCACGAGGACACTGGAAAAAGGTGATTTATGAATCATTTTTCTCACTTAGGACCATTGCCACCTCCCCGTGGTCACGTGATCAAAATCCGGAGGCTTGGCAACTGGCATGGACTTACGACGGTTGCAGAATCCCCCGGGGTCACCTGATCTCCTTTTGTGACCTTTTGACAAGCAAAGTCAGTGGGGAAGCCAGATCTGCTTAACAACGGTCTTACTAACTTAACAACTGCAGTGATTCACTTAAGGACGCAAGGACGGTTGTACAATGGGGCAAAGCTCCACTTCGCAACTGTCTCACTTAGCGACAGGAATTTTTGCATGCTCAGTTGCGTTTGTAAATCGAGGACCAACTAACTGTATCGGATACGTGGTAGTAGCAGAGAGCAGCTGGAAGAGAACGGATGCATTGAAAGAACCGCTGAGTGGAACTGAGCATACTCAGAAATTACGGGGTGGAGGAGGGGGCTTCATAAGGGGGGGGGCATGCCACTTCTCTGTACTTTTGGCCAGAGTTGTCCGTCTTCTCCAGGTTGTGCTCAAGCTAACCTCTTGTAGCAATTTCTCATTTGCTTCCGTTGAGATTTGGCCAGCCAGGATGCAGCCAAACTAAAGACAAACCCTGAATCGTGGTTTGTTTTTTTCCCGTCCTCCTCGCAGTGGGCGATTACGTCCAAGCGTTGGAGTGCACCAGGACGTATCTCCTCTTCCATCCAGACGATGAAGATGTCCTGGAGAACGAGGATTATTACAAGAGCCTCTTAGAAGGATCTCTTGACCTGGAGGCCGTCAAACCCAGAGAGGTAAGCGGCTTGGACGTGGGAGCGAGGCTCGGATGTAACTTCGAGGATCCTTGGCCTTGGTGAGGAACAAGCCATCTTCTGCAGGGCTTACATTGAGGATGCACTGAAAGAAGAGGTTGTTGGCAGTTCAGGGCTGAATTGTTGGGTCCTGGGTGCTCTCTGACCCAACTGAGTCCTGCTGGAGAAGGGCGGTATACAAATTAAAATTCAAATTGTTTTAAATTTGGGCCAAAGTATATAATTCTTTTAATAATTTTAAATTTTGTATTGTTATGTGTTTTAGTTCTGGCTGTGCACCGCCCTGAGTCCACTAGGAGAAGGGCGGTATACAAATCGAATAAAATAAATAAATAAATAATTAAAACAAATAAATAAAATAAATAAATAAACTAGGGAACATCATCAGGGCTAGAAGGGGTGGTGGCCAGGAGGAGGAGGAAGAAGAGGAAGGGGAGGAGGAGGAGGAGGGCTGTAGGGTCCTTGGTGCTGAGTTAGGTGGTTTTCTTGCAAACGTTTCATGACCCAATTAGGTAACACCATCAGTCTAGAAGGGAGTGGGGAGGAGGAGGACGACTGTGAGGTCCTTCGTGCTCTCTGATCTTGGTGGTTTTCTTGTAGACATTTTGTGATCCGCACATCAATGCGGATACTGAGCACTGATGCTGTTATCGAGTTGGGTCATGAAACGCCTGCAAGAAAACAGCCCAGCTCAGGGGGCACCAAGGACTCCACAGATCACGGTGGGAGAATTACAGATCGTGCGTAACGCTCACAACTAGGTTTCTCTCTTTTATATATATATATTTTTTTCCAGGAAGCCGTGACCTTCCTCCGGAGACACCGCTTGGAAGCAGAGTTGCTAGAGGACGGAGCCAGCATCCTGGGTTTCTTGTACACGGAACCGGTGAGAATGGGCTCCTGGAGTCTCGGGGGGTGGGGGTGGAGGGGCAGATGGAGCCAAGAATCATAGCTTAGTCCTGGCCAAACCCAGCCTTGCTTGGAGGAACTTCTCCTTCAGCCACGGGTGCCGGGGGAGATCTTCTGCATCTAGGCTTAGCAAAGATGTCTGGATTTTAAGATTGTGGACTTCAGCTCTGGAACTTGGGGAGTCCATCTGGGCCAGCATTCACACGACCGCCTAAACTCAGCTAGGATGGGGTTGTTGGGCGCCTTCTGGTTCCATGACTAGATGCCGTCTTCATAGGTGATTCAGACCAAGGCTTTGCATGAACGGGGCACACTCTTTAAGCATGGCAGGTTGTGTATAAGGTAGCATTTGCACCTGTTTAAGGGGGATTTATGGTTTAGTGGGAATTCAATGAGTGAATTTTGTGACTGAATCTTGAGATAAAGTTACAGGGAGACGTTTTTTTGGACAGTTCTTTGGAGGGGATGGGGGGGTGCATTGTGGGGAGGGTCCTTCTTCCCTTCCCTTCCTTCCTTCCTTTCCTTCCTCCTGTCTGCCTGCCTTCTTTCCTTCCTTCCTCTCATTACAATTTCCTTCATTCCATTTTTTCCGTCCTCCATTTCTCTTTTCCTTCCTTCCTTCTTTCCTCTCGTTACAATTTCCTTCCTTTTTTTCCTTCCTTCATTTCTCTTTTCCTTTCTTCCTTCTTTCCTTCTTTCTTTCTTCCTTCCTTCCTCTCATTACAATTTCCTTCCTTTTTTCCTTCCTTCCTTTCTCTTTTCCTTTCTTCTTTCCTTCCTTCCTCTCATTACATTTTCCTTCCTTTTTTCCTTTCTTCGTTTCTCTTTTCCTTCCTTCCTTCTTTCCATCTTTCTTTCCTTCCTTCCTTCCTCTCATTACATTCCTTCCTTTTTTCCTTCCTTCCTTTCTCTTTTCCTTTCTTCTTTCCTTCCTTCCTCTCATTACAATTTCCTTCCTTTTTTCCTTCCTTCGTTTCTCTTTTCCTCCCTTCCTCCCTCCCTCCTGCTCTCTCTCTCTCTCTCTCCCTCTCCCTCTCTTTCTTTCTCCCCTTCTCTCTTTCTCTCTCCCGCCTTAACCAACCAGCCTTCCTTCTTCCAGAACTACTGGAACCCCGCTGGGTCTCGTCCGGACAGCCAAAGGTAAGAAAGCAAAACTACCATCTGCTGAAGAAGACTGACACTTCAGGGGGTCTTGCAGGGGGGGCAGAAATCTCAAAAGACGTTGGTGAATATTTGAAAGGGAGTCACCATTGGCACCAGGGGTGTCTGCATGGGGGAGGGGGTGCAAGTGGGCGAGGAGCCTTCTTGGAAGTGCTGAAATGATTGTGTTGTGAATTGCACCCCCATTTGCACTACTCAGGGGACCCTGAGGACACAGATAAACCTCCAAGTGGCCTCAACGACCCTCTAAAACAGTCCTTCTCAACTTTGGCCGCTGGACGATGTGTGGACTTCAACTCCCAGAAGTCCCCGGGACTTCTGGGAGTTGAAGTCCACACATCGTCCAGCAGCCAAGGTTGAGAAACATTGCTCTAAAAGGATGCAAATGACCAGCTGCCTGCAAGGAGTATCAATCCTTCCATTCACTCAGAGTTGAAGAAGCTTCTTGGAGGGGAAGCAAAACCTCTTCAATGAAAAACCAGAAAGTCCAGTTGCCTCTTGAAAATAAAGCCCTTTTGGGGCAGATCTGGTTAGCGCTTGGAGGGCTGGCGGCTGGGAAGGGAAGGTGAAAGAAATGCCACTTAAAGAGGGGGGCCCCCAGTCCGGTCTCTGCCCAAGGGGGAAACCAGATGGCTCCAGTAAGAAATCAAAGGTAATAAATATACACCATCATTAAGATAAAAGAAGCAAAGGTTAATGTGTATATTTGTATGCTTATGTATTATAGATAGGTAATCCTGTTTGTTAGTTTTGTTTGTAAGTAGTTTTGAATGTATTTTTAGAGTTAAGAATGTTTTGTACAATTTTTATCTTTTTATATTGAATAAAGTTTGTTTTAAACTGGGGGGAAAAAAAAGAAAGAAAGAAAAAGAAAGGACCCATCTCAGTTCTGACACTAGCCAAGATTAAACCTGCATGTGGGCAACAGACCTGGGCCACCTCATCGTACCCAAAACTCAGAGAAGGATAATGGGGGTCAGCACAGCACTTGAGGCTGGTGGGTCTTCCCCACGACTCAAAAACCTCCACCTGGACCTGACCAGCCTTCCTACAGCCTGGCTAGGTGGCTCAGTGGCTAAGACGCTGAGCTTGTCGATCAGAAAAGTCGGCAGTTCGGCGGTTCAAATCCCTAGCACAGGTCTCCTATGAGCAGGGGGTTGGACTAGATGACCTCCAAGGTCCCTTCCGACTCTTGTTACTGTTAATGGTCTGTTGTGGTCTTGCCCTCTTTCCTGAAACCCAAACACAGGTAGACCTCGACTTACAAACGCTTCATTTAGTGACCGTTCAAAGTTACAATGGCGCTGAAAAAATGTGACGTAGGACCGTTTTTCCATAGTTACGACCTTGGTAGCCTGGTTACGTGATCAAAATTCAGACGCTTGGCAACTGGACTCACATTTATGACGGTCGCAGCATCCCAGGGGGGGATCACGCGATCCCCTTTCGCGACCTTCGGACGAGCCAAGCCAAGGGAGAAGCCAGATTCACTTAACAACTGTGTGGCTCATTTAATAACGGTAGTGATTCACTTAACAGCTGCGAGAAAGGTCGTAAAATGGAACAAAACTCACTGCACACACATCTCACTTAGCAACATGAATTATGGGCTCAGTTTGCGGTCGTACGTTGAGGAATTACCTGTAATGTTCCATCTCAAGTTAATTGATTGACTTTTGGCATGTTGGTTTCTTCAGTCAACATTCAGTTGGGCTTCGGGACTTAAATTGGGCGTCCAGCCTATTGTGGGAACCCAACCAGCAGCTCCTGGTTTGTCTTCCGCAGGGATCCTTCTGGGCTGCAGGACCACCAAGCCAATGAGCCTGGGTATGGCCCTCCTGAGCAGGATTTGTCCAAAATGGGGCACCCCCTGCGGGAAGGTAAGGTTCCCTGGACATGAAAGGTCCTGGAGGCAAAATCGTATCAAGAACGGTTGCAGGAATTGGGTGTGTCTACTCCAGGGTTCTCCAAACTTGGCCATTTTAAGTTTTGTGGACTTCAACTCCCAGAATTCCCCCCACTGGCTAGGGAATTCTGGGAGTTGAAGTCCATAAGTCTTCAAGTGGCCAAGTTTGGAGACCTGGCTGTTTTAGGGGCTCTCCTGCTTAGGGTTTGGCCACCCCACAACTCCTTAACAGGCATGGAGGGCAGGAGGGAAAGGATCTCTGATTTTCCAGAGGAAATGAAATGGACCCACCCAGCTCCATCCTCGGTTAGTTTTGAGAGCTGGGTCAAAAAAAAGATTTATTCTGTGCAACCTGCAGACTGTAAACTTTGGAGACAAATTCGCAGCCCAGCTGAGGCCTTCGGCTGGCTTCAGGGAGAAGGAGAGAATGCTTTTCCCAGGCCCCTTTCGTGGAAACTCCATTTCCACAGATGCTTTCCCTCCCATGGGCACGTTCTTGGAAAGATTGCATTATTTTGTAAGGGCAGAGAATCTGCCAGTCCTCCTTGCTGTTTGCACCATCCAGAATGGAGATGGAGGAAGAGAGGAGGAGGAGGAGGTGGAGGAAAAAAACTATAGGGATGCTCTCTGAGCTGGGTGATTTTCTTGCAGATGTTTCATGACCCAACTAGGGAACATCATCAGTGCCGGAAGGGAGGGGGCTTTGGGAGGAGGGGGAGGTCTGGCTTTTGTCCTCCTCCCTTGGAGGAATAGATTCACTTCACCTTCTGTGGGGTTCTCTGACCCTCAAGATATCTGGGGGGGAAAGAAGCAGCGGTTCTTTCTGCCTCTGGAAAAATGGAAAAGCCCCAAGGAGCCAAGCTTGGGGGAGAGGGTGGGGGGAGCTGTTCCCACCGTGTTTGGATTTTTCCTCTCTTTGCCCTTGAAATGCCACCTGGAGGACAAGGATGGGCAGTGCCAAGCCAGGATTCCCTCTGTGGTCAGAAAGAGAGAGGGCTGGTTCTGCCCTTGAGCCAACCTTCGGATTAGCCCCAGGCAGGGTGTCTCTTGCCTTGCTCTACAGCTCTTTCCAATGTCTAGATCTGCTAAAATAAGTTTTTTCTTTCTTTCTTTCTTTCTTTCTTTCTTTCTTTCTTTCTTTCTTTCTTTCTTTCTTCCTTCCTTCCTTCCTTCCTTCCTTCCTTCCTTTCTTCATCATTCTCTCCCTCTCTCCATCCCTCAATCTCCTTCCATCGTTTCTCCCTTCTTCCCTTTGCTTCCTTCCTTCCTCCCTCCCTTTTCTCTTCCTTTTTCCTTCCTTCCTTCCTTCCTCCCTCCCTCCTTCTCTCCCACATTCCTCTCTCCCTCCTTCCTTCCTTTCTTCCTCCCTACCTCTTTTTTCATTCTTTCTTTTTCTCCATCATTCTCTCCCTCTCTCAATCCCTCCATCTCTTTCCTTCATTCCTCACTCCCTCCTTTTTCCTTCCTTCCTTCCTTCCTTCCTTCCTTCCTTCCTTCCTTCCTTCCTTCCTTCCTTCCTTTCTTCCTTCTTCTTTCCTTCCTCCCTCCCTCCCTCCCTCCCTCCTTCCCCTCCCTCCTTCCCTCTCTGCCTAGGAGGCCCCCTTCTGTTCAACGAAGTCCAGTTTGTCTACAATTCCCAGCAGCTGAACGGGACGCAGCGAGTCCTCCTGGACAATGTCATCTCGCCAAGCGAGTGCCAAGAGCTGGAGCACATCGCCAACGTGAGTAACTGCCCGTCTGTGGGTGCCAAAGCAGAGGACCCCTCTGAGCAGGTGTCTAGTGGCCATTTGAGGTCCATAAGGGTTGCCTGGCCCATTTCTGTGAGCAGACCTCATCATGAAGCCTCTGGCCTCTTAGAGACCAACCCCTTGAAGGTGTCACGCGGAAGGAGATGCCATCCATTGGATCAATAGTTGTCCAATTTCTTCTTAAAAACCTGAGTGTTGGAGTACCCACAACATCTGGTGGGAAACTGTTCCTCTGGTTAATTGTCCACACTGTTAGGAAGCTTCTCCTTAATTCCAGGTTGCTTCTCTCCTTGAGTAGATTCCATCCATCACTTCTTTTCTTGCCTTCTGGTGCTTTGGAGAATAGATGGACCCCCTCCTCTTTGTGGAAACCCCTGAGATATTGGAAGATGCCATCATGTCAGCCCCTAGCTTTCTCTTCCTTGGACTAGGCAAACCCATTTCCTGCAACCGTTTCTTCACATGTTTTAGCCTCCAGAGCCCTAAACGTTGGTCTTCTCCTGCAGAACATCCTCCTGGCTGGTGATGGCTACAGGGGGAAGACCTCTCCTCACACCCCGAATGAGAAGTTTGAAGGAGCCACCATCCTCAACGCTCTGAAGGTAAGAAGGTGTTGTGTCAAGCTGGGCCTTTTTCTCCTGTGTGGTGAGAACCTCTGGAGGCCTCCAAAGCTAGTTTAGATCAAGTCCATCAGCAGCTCAGGATGGAGGAGCCTCTCTTCAGGCATTCTGCTTTCAGGTAGGCCAGGTCAAGACATGGGCACGGCTCTGATCCCAGAAATGTCCTTGAGAGGGAGAGTAGTCCTCCATTTACAACATTTGGTGGCCATTCAAAGTTATAACAGCACTGAAAACACTCATATTTATGACGGTTGCAGTGTGCCGGGGTCACATGATTCCCTTTTGCGACCTTCGGATACGCAAAGTCAACGGGGAAGCCGGGTTCACTCAACGACCATGTGGCTGACTTAGCAACGGCAGTGATTTCACTTAATAACTGTGGCCCAAAAGGTTCTAAAATGGGGCACAACTCACTTAACAATGTGTCTCGCTTAACAACAAAAATTTTGGGCTCAGTTGTAGTTGTAACTCGACTGTGAAAAATGGTCCCTTTTCTTAGTGCCGTTTAAATCTGAACAGTTATTAAATGAATGGCTCAAGGACTACGAGAGAGCGAGAGAGAGAGAGAGACAGAGAGAGAAAGAGAGAGAGGAGAAAGAAAGAAAGAAGGAAAGAAAAGAGAGAGAGAGCGAAGGAGAAAGAAAGAAAGAGAGACAGAAAGAGAGAGAGAGACACACACACACAGACGAGAAAGAAAGAAAGAGAGAGAAGGAGAGAGACACAGAGGAGAAAGAAAGAAAGAAGGAAAAAAGAAAGAGGAGAAAAAAAAGGAGAGGCAGAGAAAGAGAGAGAAAGAGGAGAGAGAAAAGGAGAAAGAGACAGAGAAAGAGAGAGAGAAGAGAAAGAGAGAGACAGAGAAGGAGGAAGAGAGACAGACAAAGAAAGAAAGGAGAGAGAGAGAGAAAGAGACAGGCACATAGAGAGAGAGACGAGAAAGAAAGAGAGAGAGAGAGAGAAGGAGAAAGAGACAGGCACATAGAGAGAGAGACAGAGAAAGAGAGAGAGAGAGAAGAGAAAGAGAGACAGAGGAGAGACAGAGAGACAAAGAAAGAAAGGAGAGAGAGAGAGAGAGAAAGAGACACAGAGAGAGAGAGAGACAGAGAGACAAGAAAGAAAGAGAGACAGAGACAGAGAAGGAGAGAGAGAGAGACAGAGAGACAAAGAAAGAAAGAGAGATAAAGAGAGAGAGAGAGAGAAGAAAAAAGAGAAAGAGAAAAACTGTCTACTGTTGACCTCCCCCCATTCCTCAGAGGTCTCTAAGGGGGCGTGCATAAGCGCACCAACGTGCCAACCGTCCCTGTCCTACTGTCCCTTTTTATTCGTATCCATCTCATGTATTCAAAATCATGTTTATACTTTTATCTGTTATCTTATATATGCTGGACAAAATAAATAAAAGGGAGAGAGAAGAGAGAGAACCTTCTCATTTGATTTGCCTGCAGTTTGGCAGCGAGGGGCGGATCCCTTTGAAAAGTGCCCGCCTCTTCTACGATGTCAGCGAGAAAGCCCGGAAGATCGTGGAATCCTACTTCATGCTGAATTCCACCCTGTATTTCTCTTACACACACCTGGTCTGCCGCACGGCCCTGTCAGGTAAGTCTGGGGAGAGGGCAAGGTTGAGCAGGGGTCTCCACTTGAAGGACTTCAACTCCCAGAATTCCCCACCCAGCTGTGCCTGTTTCTTTTCCTCCCATCTCTTAGAGCGGAGAGATTGCAGAGAAAGGGATTACGAGAGAGTAAGCAGATCACAATGGGGATGCACGTCATAAAGAATGCATTCATGTCAGGGAATTCTGGGAGCTGAAGTCCGCAACTCTTAAAGTGGCTAAACTTTGGAGACCCCTGGTGTAAAGGAATTGGGGAAGGGCTTTAGAGGTGTGCAGGAGGTTTTGTGGGAGTGTTTTAGCAAGATAGCAACACAAAAGGTGTGTGGGGCCACCTTGAGGTCTTCAGTTCTTGGTTCCTTCAGGTCAACAGGAACGGAGGAATGATCTCAGCCACCCAATCCACGCGGACAATTGTCTCTTGGACCCCGAGGCTAACGAGTGTTGGAAGGAGCCCCCAGCTTACACCTTCCGAGACTACAGGTGGGTGGGTCGCTCGTGACCCTGAAGATAAGAAGGGTCTTAGGTGCTCTTCACCAAGACCAAGTAGAGTAATCTAGAGCAGGAGGTTGGGCTAGAAGACCTCAAAGGTCCCTTCCAACTCTGTTATTCTGTTGTTCCTTCCTCCTTCTCATTCCCATCTCCTTCCTTCCTTCCTTCCTCCCTCCCTCCCTTCCCCTTCCTTCCTTCCTTCCTACCTCCCTATCTTCCTTTCCTTCCCTCCCTCCTGCCTTCCTTCTTTCCCTCCTTCCCTCCCTCCCTCCCTCCTGCCTTCCTCTCTTCTTTCCCTCCTTCCCTCCCTCCCTCCCTCCCTTCCCCATCCTTCCTTCCTTCTTACCGACCTTCCTTTCCCTCCCTCCCTCCATTCCCCTTCCTTCCTTCCTTCCTTCCTTCCTTCCTTCCTTCCTTCCTTCCT